AATGAAAGATTCAACCGATTTCTACGATTTTTTGCAATTCTTAATAAATAATAATGGAACTTTAAGAAAACTTTATTTATTTTCTTATAGGTATAAAAACGTTTGACATATCGGCATATATTTGAAACATCATTTTTACGAAAAATGAAAATAACTTCGAAATCCCACGACAGATTTTTCCCTAACTTCAGCAAATAAGCCTCAGAGGTCTCTAGTTTGATGTCTGCAAGTTTGAAGGCAATCTTGACCGTAGAAATCGCTCCACAAAATGTTGGTCAAATTTAATGCTAAAATGATAGGCTAACACATTTGGTTGTCCCTAAATAAAATTAAACGGAAAATTAAACGCCTATTTAATTTGAGCTGGGTACTTCTACCGGCTAATAAAATCATTTTCTCAAGTGTTGTTAACGTATAAAATTCGACACTCGCTGAGCTTGTCGATAAAAGCAGAAAAGAACTGATTGTCAAAACCGTGATAAAAAGAGTTTAAATTATTTCCGGTTTTCCTGAGGTTTGTAGAAAATTAGGCTGTGCCTTTTTTTATAGGTGTTTTGTAACTGTGTACATGTAAGTTTTCGTATAGTTTTTATGTAGTTAGGCTTCCCGTTTGGTGCATAAAATTATCGGGCGCTGGAGTCATTCTTCGCTCTCACAAGTTTNGGGTTTTCGTTGCAGCTGAAAATGGATCGGTTGAAGTACTGGAGTTGGTGGGTATATTTCACCTCAAGACGGAAACCTTCGGTGCTAAAAACTGGTAGGAGATTTCCGTAGATGCTATATCTTTCTTTGTTGAGATTTTTTCGAAAAGAGAAGGGCAAATACACAGTAATTTTGATAAATAGATGCTATTTAATCTGGCCCCGCATTCAGCATAAAGTTGTTCTTCTAGTTTTGCAAATTGTATTTGCCGCAGGTTTTTGATTACTGAGTTTCTTGCTACTGAAGCTTTGGGCGAGAATACCCTTTCAGATAGGAGATAGTCCGTCGGCCGGCAGTTTTCCTCTATTTGTGCGTCAACTTTCACAAATGTGTTAGCGTCGCATTTTAAGGTTGAATTTGACCAGCTAATTGTGCAGCGAGTTCTACGGTCACGATTGACTTCAAAACTTGCAAAACATAAAACTAGAGAGCTCTGAGGCTTATTTGCTGAAGTTAGAGAAAAATCTATCTTAGGGTTTCGAAGTTATTGACATTTTTTGTAATAATGCGGTTTTAAATATGTGCCGATATTTCAAACTTTTTTATACCTGCAAAAAGGTAAATAACATTTTCCTTAAGTTCGACCATTGTTTATTAAGGATGCCAAAAATCATAGAAATCGGTTAAACATTTCCTGCCGAAAAAGGCGATTCAAAAACATAACCAACACGCATATAAATAGATTCGGTTGCCCGTTCCTATATATATACGTGTTGGTTACGTTTTTGATTCGCGTTTTTCAGAATGAAAGATTCAACCGATTTCTACGATTTTTTGCAATTCTTAATAAATAATAATGGAACTTTAAGAAAACTTTATTTATTTTCTTATAGGTATAAAAACGTTTGACATATCGGCATATATTTGAAACATCATTTTTACGAAAAATGAAAATAACTTCGAAATCCCACGACAGATTTTTCCCTAACTTCAGCAAATAAGCCTCAGAGGTCTCTAGTTTGATGTCTGCAAGTTTGAAGGCAATCTTGACCGTAGAAATCGCTCCACAAAATGTTGGTCAAATTTAATGCTAAAATGATAGGCTAACACATTTGGTTGTCCCTAAATAAAATTAAACGGAAAATTAAACGCCTATTTAATTTGAGCTGGGTACTTCTACCGGCTAATAAAATCATTTTCTCAAGTGTTGTTAACGTATAAAATTCGACACTCGCTGAGCTTGTCGATAAAAGCAGAAAAGAACTGATTGTCAAAACCGTGATAAAAAGAGTTTAAATTATTTCCGGTTTTCCTGAGGTTTGTAGAAAATTAGGCTGTGCCTTTTTTTATAGGTGTTTTGTAACTGTGTACATGTAAGTTTTCGTATAGTTTTTATGTAGTTAGGCTTCCCGTTTGGTGCATAAAATTATCGGGCGCTGGAGTCATTCTTCGCTCTCACAAGTTTTATAATCAGTTACTCTGTCTTTTGCCTCTACCGGTTTTGTACCATCTAACTGTTTTCTCCGAGAGCAAGTACTCTTCATCCTTTACTTCAAAACATGGGCAATCTGTATAGTCGAAGAGGGCACAAGTCAATCAATCTTTCTGTATTAAACAGCAACAAAGTTGCTTTTGTCATGCATGAGAGCCAGAAGGTGGCATCTAAATTATGTATGATCAGAAGCTTTATTTGTCATTTCTGAAGTGTATTTATTACTTCTTTGTGAGTGGGACAAATTAACTGTGTTTGTGGGTCAGTGCTTGTGTTAGCTACAGAGTCATGTGTTTAAGTTGGTTAGTGTTCTTCTCTGAAACGGTCTATCTGAATCACATTGTTTTTCCAACGTAAGATGGGCTTGATTAGCACTATTATTGTATTCGGTGTTTTAGAGATCCAAAGCAACAATGTACCTGTAGATAATAAACCTTACCAAGATATATTCTAAATCAAATTAATAAAACATATACCTGTACTTTCTTGGGTAATGAATTTTGTTTTCAAATGTCACATTTTTTCAATCCTTCATCCACTCACCTCAGACTAAACAAAAACTCCATAAGCCTCTGATGTTACGGTTTTTTTTTTTTTTTTTACATATAAGCAGCTTCTTTTTTTTCTTTGGGAACAGCGTTAATGTTTATTTCAGAGGCGATTTACAGTATTCCCTATCCATATCATTAACACTACACAGAAACTTAAACTTTGTTTCATCCTAAAAAAAAGTCAGTATTTCAAAGATAATATATTTCTAAGTTTTATTAAGCCTTGGGGAAGACAAGTGTTTCCTCGTAAAAAGGATAAGAGAAGGTTCTACTATTAACCAGGAGAGTTTGCTTCCCAGTTGTATTCTACTAGTTAACAATTATCGGTTTAACATAACATTTTTAAAAGCGTTGCAGTTCGCTTTTTCAAAGACCTGACTGAAAATGTACCTTGGGTCATTGTACATTTATACCTGAAAATAACAAAACAACTTGCTTCACTATCAAACTTGACTTGAAAAAGTTAGAAACGGTGTTTGGTGGTCCGCAAGCAAATTTCCTTTCTCTGCTGTGAGCTTTTGTCCGCTCAGCGGGGAAATGTAAAACGTTTTTACATTTCTCAAATACGGCTTCTTCTCACTGGTTGTCCGTAAATAAAATTGAAGGGAAAATTAAACGCTTATTTAATTTGAGCTGGTTACTTCTACCGGCTAATAAGACCATTTTCTCAAGTGTTGTTAACTTATACAATTCGACACTCGCTCAGTTTGTCGATAAAAGCAGAAAAGAGCTGATTGTCAAAACCGTGATAAAAAGAGTTAAAATTATTTCCGGTTTTCTTGTGGTTTGTAGAAAATTAGGCTGTGCCTTTTTATAGGTGTTTTGTAGTTGTATACATGTAAGTTTTCGTATAGTTTTTATGTAGTTTGGCTTCCCGTTTGGTGCATAAAATTATCGGGCGCTGGAGTCATTCTTCGCTCTCACAAGTTTTATAATCAGTTACTCTGTCTTTTGCCTCTACCGGTTTTGTACCATCTAACTGTTTTCTCCGAGAGCAAGTCCTCTTCATCCTTTACTTCAAAACATGGGCAATTTGTATAGTCGAAGGCAGAGATATGAAATATCCGATGAAAAGTAAGACGCGCAAAACATCGGATGTAAGAGGTTGAATGGCTCTCGATAATGTGACGTCACATTTTTCCACCATGTTGGAACCAGTCTTTCTATTATCCATGCGTCAATTTTACAAGACCCGTAGCTAGCGGGGAGGCCAAGGGGGCAGCTGCCCCCTGGACCTGTTGAGCCAGACTCATCAAGTCTGTGGATGGAGTTGTTTTCTTTAGACTCAGTTATTTTGATTATAGTGACTTGCAATTGTTTGCCATTTTCAGGTTCGAGGTCGATTTTTCGGAGACATATCCCATGACAAGTGCTAAAAATACCGTTTCGGAGCCTCCAAACTTGAAACTTTTCTGGGGGAGGACACCCCGAGACCCCAATACAAGGCGCGTGCCCTCGGCGCTCGAGCTTATGCGCCCCGTTACAAAAAATTTAGTTTCGGCCCTGTTTACGCGTCAGCGGAAACCCGCCTTATAGAGGTTTGCTTGGTTGCATTGACCGTGAGGTCAGTCTGCGAACGAGAAAAGGAGAAAAGAAAGTGGGGGACTATACATGCTACTCTCTCCCCATTAAAACAGGAGAGTGATACTTGCGGAGGAGATCTCACAGTACCAGACGAATTTTCCACCCCCTGAAAAATTTGACCGGACAATTTGTTCATAAGGGACTTTAAACTTCTAGACGTCTGATTTCTTTGTACGGTTAAGGTAGTTCCGTGTGAACAGAAAACCTTAACGCATAAACTTCAACCGGTTGAAAAATTGTCTTGCGCAGTGCCTTGTGAACATAATTCTACAATTATTTTGGGACTTTAGTTATGAGGTTATACTTAACTCCAAAAAATATAGGGCTAATTAGTAGACTATTGCAGCTGCAACTGTCAGAACTATTTAGAACATTAACCCAAGCGTCACGTTCACTCTTGCTCTTAAAAGGGTGAGAAATTAAGGAAAGGGAACCATTTACCGGGAGTACATACAAAACTTGATTTGAACCGTTTTCACTGAAAGTTTATCCTTATTAATTATGACTCAAAACGTTTACGTTGAGCAAAGAAACCCTTGACGTCAGTCTAGGGAATAAATCCGTCGTAAACTTGAGCAAAAAAATTTCAGCTTCCTTCAAGGCAACCAACCAGCTCAGTATTTGTTGGAAAGGTAAGCGCTATGTTAGAGGTTGTTGTGAGAAAAAACAACGTTAAGCCCGGCTTTAAAACAATTCCTCTCCTCGCTAATCGCGAAGTCATCTTGCCAATAGTCACCACCGCACAGTTAAGCCTCACTGAATTTTGTCTTCCTTTTAAAGAGAAGCTTCAGCCGAGTGCAGCGCATGGTATGCTGTATCCCTTACTATAACTGTTGCTGTGGTCGCAGTGAACCTCCTATCAATTATTCTTTTTATAAAGAACAGTAATCTTTGCACTCGTGCCATGTACTTGGTTATAAACTTGACCGTGGTTGATATGTTTGTTGAAGGAGTAGCCACTTTCGCTATAGTATTTCATTTTCTCCTCTACGGTTGTGAAGTTGGAAATAAATTCATATTCCACTCTAAACAGTTTCTTGCTGCGCAGGAATGGCAACCTTTTCTTGTGCTTCTCATGATCGACATCTGGCTTTCTCTCACCTCTGTGGCAGGCATTGCAGTAATTTCTTTAGATCGGATGCATGCGACGTTTCGTCCATTCAGGCATCGCAACATCAAAAAATGGGCCTACGGGGTAGCAATAGGTGGCGTCTGGATTTTAACTGCAATGTTAATTCCCTTTCCGTTAACACGTCTGGATGGAAACTTGCACTCGTACTTATGGCTGTCATATCGTTGCCTTTGCCTTTTTGTTATCTTTATTTCTTACACCTCCATTGCTTTAAAATTTTGGTGTGGAACCCCGTCCTCCGTCCCATGGTGCGGCCAATAGACAAAGAAAACTGACTGTGACATTATCCATAATGACCATTATATCTTTGCTGCTGTGCTTACCATATGTTGTATGTAATTTTGTTCCTTTTTTTGTTCTAGATACTAGGTTTTCTTTCCTGACATATGTACGCTTGAGATCATCTTTTACTCTTCTACGCCACACAAACTCGCTTGTTAATCCCATTATTTACATAATCAGGATTCCAGAGTTCAGAAAAGCTCTTCTGATATTATTTAAACGTCGACAAAGACAAAATGTTGCTATTCCTCTTCATGCCCGTTAGCACCAAAAGGGAATTCCTCGCACGTCCGCACATTTTTTCCATTGTTTAAAACCATCAACATGGTCCCCCGCACGACTGCCTCAAAGCAAACAATGCAGAAGATTTTTATTGCGACTGTCGAATTGCCTCTTGAAAACACTGAATAAACATTTGCGGACCTTTCCGGGCACCAAATTCTGATTAATTTCAAGCGTTTAATTGGACTAAAAATTCTTCGGAGAAAGTCACATGTGCCAACAAGAGCCATAATAGGACTTGGTACCAATCAAGGGCGTGACTGGGCGTTCTTTGTCCTTTTATTCTCTCTTGGTAACACTTAATTGTAAGTTCATAATGATGACAAGTCAAAAACAAGAGGGAGGTGGGAGAAATGACCCTTCAAATAAGGAAGAAGAGACAAAATAAGTTTTGTTAAGTTTAATTATTAACTTTAATTACTTAAGGCATTTTCTTCTTTTTTTGTGGTTGTTGTACGTGGCCACAAGTTTGGCATCTTTGAGCTACGTAATTGCTGTGGTATGTACAAATGAAGTTCCAGCAATGATGGAGAGGTTGTACATATTAGGCTAGCTATGGTCAAAATATACTGGATAGCTTTTGTGCCGCCACGAAAATCATACCGGATAAGGATTCTGTTCACACACATGAACGGTGATTTCGACACGATTTCCATGACGGAGCAAAACTGCGTCACGCCGATCTCTAAAGTAGAAAGTCACGCATTGGATACATTAGGTGTTTATACTTTGCCGGACAACTTGTCGTGTCGGCTTACTTTTGACTGCTTTTGTTTGCCATCTTTTTATGTATTATCTAGCAATTCTATTGAGATGAAAAAGTCCGGGCACGTTTTTGAAGCTGTTTAAATCACTTACAGCAAGTGTTTTAAACATTAAATCCACTATTCAGCTAATCTTTTCTTGGCATTTTTAATCAGTATAAAGTATGCTTCTTAAACAGGGAATTTCCGAGTTCCAAAAACTTTCAATTTTCAAGCAAGCAAGGCGAAGTTTAAACTCCTTTTTTCGATCACGAGTTTAACTTGCATGAGAACAACAAATCATTTTATCCAAATCATTTCGCTTTGAAACAGAGGCTTGAAGCAACTCGGAAATAGCCAATTAATCTTGTACATTTACATTCAGAATTACTTGTTATCAAACTCACTTGTTGTTATACACGGTTTCAGTGTAAATTACGTCTTTTTTTTTTTACTTTCTGAAGCACTACTATGAATGTAGACTGGAAAACAGTCGTTTTTTTTTTTCATAATTTGTTTTGCAAAGACGCGAAGGGCCGGAGTGAGATTTTCGCGAAAAGCGCGCGAGCCTCACACGCCCTTAGGCACAATCTCACTCTCCGTTTTCACCCTCTCGCTCCGAACTTTTGGTTTGACCGCTCACGCGCGCGTTCTTAACCTCGGCAAAAATACGAGCTGTTTTGCCGTCTAATAAGTATGTGGCCATTGATAAAATATAAGAGAGTATGTATAATGAAGGCAAGATCATGTTGTTTTGTATACCTTAACATCTACTTTATAGGGCTTGTTAACTGTTGCTAGACTTTCTAAAATGTCTGTCAGTAAAGTAAACCAATTTAGAGTATTCAATAAACATACTATCTAAACATGGTTTTACCAGTGGTGTTTTCCGTGATCATGACTTTTTAATAATTGCTTAGGTCACTGGAAAAGGAGAGAATATTACGAAATGGGAATAATACTTTTACACTGTAGTATGGCAAACTTGTCAGGTAACTCTCAAAAGCCCGTAATTTTTGTCAATTCTGAGACTATCACTCCTTTACTGTCATGAAAGACATTATTCATCGTTGTGTGGTGTATAAAGGGTTCGTTTTTGTCGTTTGTCTTACGATTATGAAAGGGATATACGCCATCACGAACTCAACTCTCAGCCGTTTCTGAACACGCCAATAATACCGGACATTATCCTCTTTGGGATGACGTTAAGTTTATTGACCGAGACCCTCACTGGTACTCTGACTCGTGTTTCGTAGTATCACTGCAGTTCGCTGAGGGAACAGTCTCTTCCGCTAACAATGCCAACACTTCTTCGGATCGAAGCCCAGCAACAACGTAACCTTAATTGAAATTAAAGTTCTCCGCTGACCAGTTATCGGTTTTCAATTGATCGTAGGCTGGGGTCCATTTTTCCAGTTTACTTCTCGCTTGTTAATATAGCGAATGCTGAATTATTTCAAAAAGACGTTTCTTAAAAGAATCCTCGAGAACTTCGCTTTAGGCGTTGGCTAAATCTGCATATTATTTGCTTACTGTGTTTGAAGGGAAAAAGCGCTGGAATGGGATTAAGAGAATTGTTTTCAATGCATATATCAGTCTTAATCTAGCCTAACCATTTTCTTTCATTATTTTCATGTAGGAAAAATGGCAGTGCGACTGTATTATTACCGAGGAAAATTCTAATCCTCTAAGTTAAATACAGTCATTTTTCTTTTGCCTTAATTTCAACAGCCTGTTGACTCTGGACCCCCTCTTGCTTGATCAAAAGATTAAAAATGCTAGTTGGAGAAAATACACCAGTATCTATATAACATTTCTGGAACCTTTCTCTTCAATCTCTGAGCTCGAACTGAGATAAAAAAAAAAAAAAAAAGTCTCCATGATCACCTCCAGCGTTCACTTTCAACGGTTTTAAACATGTTAAAAAGACTCAGTTAAAATTGTGCATCATTTTAACCACAGACTACCCAATATTAGACATTGAACAGTTCGTAGTTATGAGCATCGAACCACAAAGGAACGAAAATTTCAAACAAACTGAACTATAAGGCTTTGAGTGGAAAAAATTTGACGTTTTGGATTGGTGGTCGCTTATGGGAGGTGATCGCATATGGAGGTTCATCTATAGGTCACGTGTTATCCTACAGGGCTGACCAGTATTTTTTGCCTTAGTTTACACTACGTTGCATAATCCAAACTTATAAGTGCACAATGATACACACAAGGCTGAACAAGAAGCGACCACCATTTTTGATGCGGAACAAAACCGAAACAGGATGTTTCAAACTAAATTTCCTCATCTCATGGATAAATGCTTAAGTGCTATGACGTGTGAAACTCCTTAATTGAGACAAAAGTAGTTATCTTTCTAATCATACGGTCCTAATGCATCGAAAAGTTTGAATGACTTGATGCGTCTGACGTAGGCTTGGTCCCATTAGCGCACGCACTTTAAAACCATTCTTTCGTATTCTAGCCGCTTTCGGCGTGATTCAGTTACAACAGAACAGAGCACAGTCAAGGGACGCTTTATTTGTTAATTAAAAAGTAGTTTGCTGTTAATAATTTATATTTGTTTTTACTAGAACGAAAAAAAGAAGAAAGCTGCAATTATTTTAAATAATATGCGGGTTTTGTTACTATTTAAATGAAGTTTGCGAGTTGTATAAGACTATACTCATTATACACGTTCATATCATAACAATTGTAGCCTGGATGAATAAGTCGTTGTGTCGCTAAAAAGGAAAAATTGATCGCGGGTGCAACAGAACAGAGCACAGTCAAGACTTCTCACTATTTGTTAAATAAAGAGCAGTTAATAATTTATATTTGCTTTTGCTAGAACAAAAGAAAAAAGAAATAAGCAATTATTCCGAATAATATTTGAGTCTTTTTAGTATTTAAATGAAGTTTTCAAAATTTCATAAAAAGGTATACTCAGTACACGAGTTCATATGATAATACTTGTCAAATTCAAGGTTAAAAATTCACAGTAAGCTAATATGCAGGAACAGTTGAACAACCTTTAGGATTGCTTTCCACTGCCACGTAACTTCAATCTACTTGCGAACGCACGTAAATTTACGTGCCGTCTTACTCATAGAGTAATCAGTCAGAGCTCCGTCAAAACTCTCATGCGAGGAATCGAAACTACAATTTTCAACACATCTTTAAGTCAGTTATCTGTTCGCTGACCGGGACCGGATCCGTAAAATAGCGCTCTAAAACTCTTAACAGTTAGTTAAGGAGTACTTAGAACGCGTAAAGGTGTGATCTGGCCTCACAAACGGGAAAACAACAGAGAGATTTAGCTATCGTTAGTTTAACCCGCCTACTTCACGATGAAGAGTATTGCCGCGCGTTCATGGTAACCAATGAAAAAGACTCCGGTTCAGCATTTTAGAATAACAATAAGCGATATTACAGACCAAGAAGCTTTCACCGACTGTAATAATATTAGATGTCGCAAGAACAGTAGCCAATTTTCTCCCGATAAAAGAGGCGACTCTTTTTAGTTTACTTTAATTAACTTTTACGTTTACGCGCGACCCGTTCAATACATTGCCTCCATTTTTTTTACGCGCGTAAAATGTACGTGTGTACTTATTTCAATTTTACGCGTCAGCGGAAACCCACCCTATGCACTTTAGGTTTGCTTGGTTACTCTGACTGTAAGACGTCTGCGAACGAGAAAAGAAGGAAAGAAAGCGAGGGGTTGCTACTGCCCTTTCTCTCCCCATAAATACAGGAGTGTGATGCCTGCAGAGGATCGAGGCCACACTCTACCGGACGAATTTTCGAGCGCCTGAAAAAGTTGACCGGACATTTCGTTCATACGGGACTTTGAACTGCTAGACGTCTGATTTCTTTGTACGGTTAAGGTAGTTCCGTGTGAACAGAAAACCTAAACGCGTAAATTTCAAATGGTCGAAAAATCGTCCGACGCACGTTGTGAACATAATTCTACAATTATTTTGGGACTTTCATTACTGGCTGCTTAATTGCTGGCCGCTTAATCATGATGTTATACTTAACTAAAAAAATATAGGGCTTATTAATAGACTATTACAGCTGCAACTGTCAGAACTGTTTAGAACATTAACTCAAGCGTCACGTGGACTCTTGCTATTAAAAGGGTGCGAAATTGAAGAAAGGACACCATTTATTGGGAGTACATACGAAACTTGATTTGAACCGTTTTCACGGAAAGTTTATCCTTATGATTCAAAACGTTTACGTTGAACACTGAGAAGCCCTTGACGTCAGTCCAGGGAATGAATCCGTTGCGAACTTGAGCAAAAAATTTTTCAGCTCTCTGCTTCCTTTAAGATATCCTTCACGACAACCAAGCAGCTCCCTAGTCAGTATTTGTTGGAAAGGTAAGCGCTAAGTTGTTGTGAGAAAAAAACAACGATAAGCCTTTAAAACAATTCCTCTCCTCGCATGATTACGAAGTCATCTTGCTAATAGTCACCGCCGCACAGTTAAACCTCGCTGAATTTTGTCCTTCTTTTAAAGAGAAGCTTGATTCGCCATACCTTGCAAAAGAGAAGATTTTAAGAAGATACAATGTACAGCCGGTTTTAATCGCCATACCTTGCAGAAAGAGGTTTTAAGACGCTTAGCAGTTCAAAATTTTATTTTGTGTGTTCTTTTGTAACTAGAAATTTGAAAAATATATTCATCTTTTAAAATTCTGAATAATACTAGATCGTTGACCGTTTAAAAATTCAATAAAGGATAAGTAAGAAAATACCAAGTAACAACCCAATTATATGCAATGGAACAAAACATCAAATGATGTTGACCACACGTTTTGAAAGATACATGTTTCGTTTGCTTCAAAGTCCCTATCCTTTAACGGGAAACTGACATAAAAAAAATAATTTTGGTTACAAAGCTATAAACGGTTTCAGGAAGCTAACAGAAGGCAGCTGTTTGCAAGAATGGGTAGCACTCGCCTGAGACAGTTAGGGCGTAAATAATGGCGATACCCGCGATGAACAGGAAAGCGCGCACATCCCTTACCTAGTTCCCGGCACAGGCTGAGAGGCTGTAATAAAAGATTTTGTTCGTTCTACTGGAGTCATTAAAAAAGAAGTTTATATTGACAACGAGTTTATCTCAGCGACAATTTTTCTAAAAGGTTTGGCAAATTTAAAAAAAATGATAAAAAATTTTATCTTGTTTATACTATGAGCTACTATGGCCTACCGTTCGGTTAATAACTTGGTTAATCCTTGCAATGGGCAGAAGGGTTGTAGCAGCGAACTTCTTTATCGGACTTCGTATACCAAAGACGCTTAGATTAAGTTTCTTCCATCATTAGCTCTTTTAATATTCATTCAAAGAATATATTCTCGAGGTACGATAACTTAGAAGTTGATCGATTATACCATCAGAACTCGCCTGAGGCAGTTAGGGCGTAAATAATGGCGATACCCGCCATGAACATGAAAGCGCGCATATCCCTTACCTAGTTCCCGGCACAGGCTGAGAGGCTGTAATAAACAATTTTAATTTGTTCGTTCTACGTACTGGAGTCATCAAAAAGGAAGTTCATTTTGACAACTTTATCTCAGCGACAATTTTTCTGAAAGGTTTGGCAAAATTAAAAAAAGAAATTGTATCTTGTTTACACTATGGGAGGTCTGAAAAAAAAAGGCCTACCGTTCGGTTAATAACTTGGTTAATCGTTGCTCGTTGCAGTGGGCAGAAGGGTTGTAGTATACGTAGCGAACTTCTTTATCGGACTTCGTATACCAAAGAAGCTTAGGTGAAGTTTCTTCAATCATTGGCTCTTTTAATATTCATTTAAAGATAACGATAACTACGGTACGATAACTTGGAAGTTGATTGACTTTTATTGGCACAATTAGTGCGCGATACGATACAGTCTCTTTGTGAATATTTTTTAATGACTTCGAGTTTAATGGAGGAAGTATTCTTGAAACGTAACCGGGGGGGCGAGGGATACTCCCTACAATAGCCTATACGGAGAGGCTCCACCCAAAAGGAATATCTTATTTAGGCTTCAGCTATATAAAAGAGTAGGGATTTACTAGCTGAAGTATATGAAAGGGTAAGGAAATCTATAATTTCGGTCTGTAAAAAAGGCCCGAAGGGTTAGCAAATGTATTTTATGGCTGTGACAAAGTAAAAAAAAAAAAGTTCTTGTTTTGTGATTTATTCATAGTTTAAAGGACATTGGATCAGAACAGCAGTTAAAATGTATGCAAAGTTCCAAACTAGGTATGTGATAGAGGTACTTTATCTGTCATAATTAAATGGTATGCAAAAAGGGTAAGGGGCTGGACCTCGGGGCGGAGCCTTCCCGTATAAACCTTTCTTGAGTACTCCCCCGCCCCCTCCCCCCTTCCCAATAAAATAAACTTTCTACCGGGTGATCCATTGCTTCTTAGTGACTTGCAGTTCAGTGAGGGCCAACAATAAGAACTAAAATTCACATATAATATTTTGTCCTCAGTTTTCAGTCAACCTACTTATCGTACTCTCCACATAACCGCTGTTTTTGATTTTTTCTTTCCACAGGTGAAAGCAGGGGATTTATTTCAGCGTTAACAAAAGTATCAAGAAATTAAAGTTAAGGTGAGCATTTAATTGAAGAATTGTTGTCAATGTACAACCTCCATTCTTGATATTTAAGGAGTGGACTTCAGTCCTCTTAGTCCACCTTCTAATTAACTTCCTTTTTTCAACTAACCAAATTTCATTCGATTTCTTTCTGAAGGGAGGAGAAAAGAGAATTAAAAGAAAACAATGAGCTCCATAACGTTCTCTTCAGCCGAGTGCAGCACATGGTATGCGGTGTCCTTTACTACAGCTGTTGCTGTAGTTGCAGTGAACCTCCTATCAATTACTCTTTTTGTAAAGAACAGTAATCTTCGCACTAGTGCCATGCACTTGGTTATAAACTTGACTGTGGTTGATATGTTTGTTGGAGGAATTGCCACTTTCTTTGTAGTATTTCATTTCCTCCTCTACGGTTGCGAAGCTGGAAATATATCATGGCCCTGGAAGGAATTGCCACCTATTATGGTTGTGCTTTCCACGACCGAGGCGTGGCTCCCTCTCACCTCTTTAGCAGGTATTGCAGTAATTTCTTTAGAGCGGATGCATGCGACGTTTCGTCCATTCAGGCATCGCAACATCAAAAAATGGGCCTACGGGGTAACAATTGCGGGCGTCTGGATTTCAACTGCGATGATAATAATTCCCCATCCGTTAATAAGTCTCTATGAGAACTTGCATCAACAGTGGCAATTGCTATTTCCTTTCTACTTATGGCGGTCATATTGTTTCCTTTGCCTTATTGTTATCTGTGTTTCTTACACCTCCATTGCTTTAAAATTTTGGTGTGGAACTCGTCCTCCGTCCCATGGTGTGGCCAATAGACAAAGAAAACTGACTGTGACATTATTCATAATGACCATTGTATCTTTGCTGCTGTGGTTACCATTTGTTGTATATTCTTTGATTTCTTTTTCTGTTTCAGATAAGATTTCTTTCCTGACATATTTACGCTTGAGATTTTGTTTTTTTTTTTCTATACCGCACAAACTCGCTTGTTAATCCCATTATTTACACAAGCAGAATGCCAGAGTTCAGAAGAGCTCTCCTGATATTATTTAAACGTCGACAAAGACAAAATGCTGCCATTCCTCTTCAAGCCCGTTAATTTACCTTGTTTAACACTTTATTGTAAGTTCAAATGATGACCAGTCAACTATGTCAACTATTGCTGTTTTGTTGCATGAAACAAAATCTCTTGAAAATAGTAGTTCAATTCATAGTTTTATTACTAACTTTAGATGGATAAAGAAATTTTCCTATGACCGCGAAAAATGTTTTCGGCTGAGTGTTCGTTATTTGTTTTATCAAAGATCAAAACATGGACTCTTCGTTCTCCCGCTAAAGAAAAAAACCCTAACATACAGAAGACATTGTTCGATTGGCCAATCGTGTTGCTGTATGACGTCAAAGCAAAGTATCAATTGATTTCTGGAAAGCTCTGGGGCATGAAGGTTTTAATTTCACCCGAATGTTTGCTTAACCAACCAAGAGCCATCCCCGTTTGTATCCGTTCGATAAACCATTCAAATCGCTCTATTTCCTTTCGTTTGATGTTCTGTTTTGTTCGCGTGTTTTCATTTCAAGTTCATACGAAAATCGCTCTAAAAAGACTGTAAATATATATACAGAAGCTGTTACTCATTTCAAGGGGCTACCTTACGCTATTTGCTAATATCTTTTTAAAACAGATCAACAGTCTTTACATCAATTGATTTCGAAAAACAATGGTCCAGTTTTGTTTTCACTTTTTTACATTACATGACATTTAAGCGTTGAAAACGTTTCTTGTTGTCTTTGCAAAGGGTTGGCAAGGATGAATATGGATTGACTTGAAAAAGTTGAGCCAACATTTTCAAGTTTTAATGCTATCCAAAAAAATTATTATTATTATTATTATTATTATTATTATTATTATTATTATTATTATTGTTATTATTATTACTATTATATCTTCTTCATTACTCTACGGGAGCAAACATGGACCTAAAACAGCAATATCCTCGTAATAGCTCCTTTAACCAATTAAAAAACCCATTAAATATTAACTCGTTAATATTCAGTAGGCATGCTCTGCATGCTTATTGTCTAATGAACTTGAGGAATTGTGCAATGGAAATGACACTTTCCGCGAGCAATTTCTTTTCCTTCCTGTACGATTATCATCAAACTGCAGAAATTTCTTTCATTTGGAGACCGTATTGCGAAGGAAGATAGACTCTTTTAAAAACTGTGTAACCCCGGGGGGGGGGGGGGGAGTGGAAAGGGAACGTCCCTCTTCCCGCGGATTTTTTTTTTCCTCCCTGGAGGATTTCAAAATAATTGGAAAAATTTCTTTTTTTTGGGGCCCGTTTTGGAAAGGGAAATGGCTTTTTTTAATAACGGTTAACCTCGGGGGGGGGGGGGGGGTACTCCCTTCAATGCACTACACGGGGTACCATTTTCAGGCTTCAAGCGTAGTTTAGCTAGTATTTCATATCTAAAGGATAGTGCATTTACAGCAGTTAAAGGGATGCAGCGTTTATTAGGTATGTGAAAGGCATATCATTTCCCAGTAAGGGGTACCTTTTCTGTCAAAAATGGTATATAAAAGCTGGTAAAGGGTTGGTCCACGGGGCGGACCCTCCCTGTATAAAACTCTGTTGCGTAGCCCCCCTGCCCCCCTCCCTTGGGGCTGTGTTCAATCAATTTGCATAGTATTTGATCAATGTAGCATTTGTTATTTTTACAGCTGTTTCCTTTTTCAATGCATTATTAACAATCCTATTGAAATAAAATACTAAGGGGACGTTTTTGAAGCTGTTCAAATCACTCACAGCGCGTGTTTTGAACATTACTTAATACATAAGCTACAGTAAAACCCGCGACTAAGAACTTGGTTTTTAAGAAAATGTAATGCTAAAATTTACCATTTAAGCCTCCTCTATACAAGAACGTGTATAGCCTAAAATTTGAAACGGGACCTTAGTTTGCTAAAAGTCCATGAAATAAATCTAGGCACTTTTGCAAGTAAGATATGTCAACATTCAGGGTCCTCTTTGGAGACGTAGAAGCCTTATAGCTCCAACTGCAATGTCATGGTAGGCGGGTTTTACAAAAGGAATGACTGGATACAATGTATTTTTTCTTCAGAAAATAAGAACCCATCATGCAGGTTCTTAGTCGCGGGTTTTACTGTATTTAGCTAATTTATCTTTTCGTAATTAATGTTTTTAATCAAGATAAAATATGCATTATTAACAGGTAATTTCCAAGTTCCACAAACCCTCGCTTTCCAAGCAAGGCTAAGTGAAAATCCTTTTTGAGATAATAAGTTTCATTTGCATGGGAGTGAAAAACGTCATTTTTGTCATAATCATTTCGCTTAAAAAGGAAAGAAGCTTGGGGTGACTCGAGATAGCCCATTAATATTATACATTTAGATTTTTAGAATTAGCTGTTATACACGATTTTATAGTGTATTTTTCTTCTTTTATTTTGTGAAGCACTACTTCGTATGTAAGCTGCAAAACAGTCGGTTTTTTCCCTCATAATCGGTAATACAAAGGCCCAAAGGGCAGGCTTGAGATTTTCGCGCGTAGCGCGGGAGCCTCACACGCTCATAGGCCCAGTATCACTCGCCCTTTTCCACCTTCCCACTTTTCGATTAACGACTCGCGCGCGCGTCCTTAACGAAGGCAAAAAGTCGGGCTGTTTTACAGTTTAATACTTTGTGGTCATTGATAAAATATAACACTATGTAAAAAGAAGCCATTGAAGCCAAGTTCAGTACACCTTAACTTCTGCTTTATACTAGGCTTGTTATTTGTTTCTAAGTCAGCAAAGTTAATCAGTTAAAGACTATTCAATAAATTTACTATTTGAACCTGATTTTCCCCGTGTTGTTATCTGTGATTCTAATAAGGAAGAGAGAAACTATATTGAAATGGGAATGAGATACTTAATATGGGAAATGTGTCAGCTGTCAACCCTCGGACGTACAAGGGTGGGGGGGGGGGGGGGGGG